CCCTATAGCAAAAACCTCTAAAAAAAAAAAAAAAAAAGAATGTGGAGACAGAAGAAGATAGAGAAAGTGATGATGTTGACTCTCCGTAGGCCTAGGCTATGTGTGTTTGTGTCTGAGTTTGTAACAAAAAAGTCTCCAAAGTAAAAAAGCTTTTAGAAAAAAGCATATAAGGAAACAATATTGGACCAGCTAGGAGGCATGGCGGTTAAGGTGGCTAGAACCCACATGGCTGACTTCGGGGTTTTGGTGACCGACCCCGTGGCTTTAGAAATACTCGGGGCATGTGTGCCTGCATGCCTAAATCCTGAGAGGAGAGTGGAGAAGGGATTGTGGTGTGGCCATCCCCTCTGGAGGGTGGTTTCTCACTTCTCTTTCTCTTTGTGGTGAGTGCACATACCCTATGGCAAATTAAAAAATAAATAAAAATTACTAAAAAAAAAAAGTATTTGTGTACAACTGTACCATGTTTGTGTTTCAAGTTAAGTCTTTTCGACAAGATTGAGGAGTTAAAAAATAAGCCTATAAAGTAAGAGTTACAGTAAGGTAAGGTTAATTTATTATTAAAGACAGGAATTAAAACAATTATTATTTATTTAACTTTATTATTTTATTATTATTTTTTCTTTTTTTGGAGAGGTTTTTGCTATAGGGCACATGTGCTAGCCAGACAGACAGAGAGAGACAGAGAGACAGAAAGCGAGAAATCACCTCCCAGGGGTGATAGCCATGCTGCAATCCCTTCTCCTCCATTCTCCTCTCGGGATTTTGGGCACGCACGCACACGCACCCAGCGTGAGTTTAAGCCACCGGGTCCGGGACTCAAACCTCAGTCGATTACGTGGGAGTCCAGCAACATAGCCATTACGCTAACTGCTGGTCCTGAACTTTATTATCATTTTTAAATTTGACGGGGGTGGGGGTGGGTGATGGTGGTGGGGAAAGTGAGAAAGTAAGACACTAGGACCAGGACTCGAACTGAGGTCCGCCAGCCTAACCACCATGTCACCTGCCAGCCCCTAAAGGAATTTAAAAAATAAATTTCGTACAGTCTAAGCATACCTGTCTATGAAGTTTATTGCAGTGTGCAGTAATATCTTAGGCCTTCATATTTAGTCACCACTCACTCACTGACTGACTTAGAATAACTTCTAAACCAGTAAGCACTGTGGTAAGTGCTCTGTACAGGTATAGTATTTTTGATCTTTTATACCATATCTCTTACTTTACCTTTTCTGTTTAGATGCAAAATAGTATTTTGTTAAAATTACCTACAGCATTTAGTACAGTAACGTGTTGCACAGACTTGGGGCTACGAGCAATAGGCTACACTCCATAGCCTAGCTGTGTCATGGGCTAGTAGGCTATTTCATTTAGGTGCGAGTCGGTACACTCTCGAAGATATTCAAACAGTGACAAATCACTTAACGATGCATTTTTCAGAATGTGTGTATTGCTGTCGTTAAGCAATGCATAACTGTATTTCAAAAATCCATACAGAAGGAAAGTGAAATAATAAAAGCTAATTGGAAATACTGGATTTCCATAATTTTCTATCCTCTTGATCAAGTATCATAAAAATTATACCTTCCTTGTAAATTTGCAAGAAATGACAATATTTTGTCCCCAATATTTACCATTGGCAAAAATTTCAGTCTTCTATCGTCATTGTTCTGTTTCTATGACTACCTTCATTTTGTTAATCGTGGCATCTTCCAGAACATTGTTTATCTACTTTTTAAACATGGGCAGGTAGATTTTATTGTTCTCTATACTGCCTTGATTAGACGATCTTTTTCTTGATTACTTTTTCCAAAGGCGTTTTGTTCTTTCACTTATTTCTGTTTTGGCTACTCATTCTTCATCCACGAGTTTGGCCTTGGGTTCCCGCGACGTTAGCAGGCTGACTTTCTGTTTGGGCTACTCATTCTTCATCCACGAGTTTGGCCCTCGTCCCCCCTTGGGTTCCCGCGACGTTAGCAGGCTGGCACGAGCCTGATTCCAGGTAGGCAAACAGCCATAGGGCAAATTAAAAGTCGTTGGTCGCCTTTAACGAAAATAACCGATCGTCTTAGACAGTTTAGGAGCCATAGCTGTAAACGATGGGGTTTCCAGGTCTTATTTCAACATGACTTTTATTCGGAGGTGTCTTTAAACAGGCCCCGTTCCTCACTCGCGGGCAGGCTCGCCCCGGCACCCGCCGCTGCGCGGCTCCGCTGTCCCCGGCCTGCACTCGCCACAGCTGAGTTCCCGTTCGGGGCGCTCTAACTTCCCGTCCCCGCTACGAGTCTTCCCACCCGTCCGACGCGGGGACTCAGACCAGGAAGGCAGACGCAGCGCAAGGAAAGGTCCGTTTGAAAGTTCCCAGGAATCCCGAGGCAGCCCGGTCTCGCGAGAGTTGACACCGGAAGTGCGCTCCCTCGCCGCGTCTCGTGTTGGCGGGAGCTGCGAGATCTGTTCCGCGCCGCGGGGCCTGGGCGGACTGCGATC